AGATGACTTGTTTGACGAACGTGGTCGACTTCGTGAAGATGATGAGGAATCTTGGGGCCAACACCACTGGTCTGATGCAGACTGGAGTTCCAATGGCTGGTGGTCATGGAAGGGGGAGTCATGGCGCTCGGCGGAGTACCAACCACCTCAGTCTTGGGAGATTGATGTGCCGGACTTTCTTCCCGACTACCTAGCGGGCTTCTTGCTTCTGCAAAGGAGTGGCTTGGATGCACATGAACGTGCAAATGTCTTAGCAGCCCTCAGAGGTGTTTTCTCTGTGAAGTCAGTGGAACGTGCCCTCAAAGAGCAGTGGAATGATGAAGATCTGCAGCGGCGTGATCGCACCAAGTTCCAGGCCATGGTGGTGGAAGATGCTGATGATGAGGAAATCCTCGCAGCTGATGAACAGCCACCTGATTTTGGCGATGACTGGCAGGCTGAGAATGCTTTCTGGGCCGAACAACAGGCCATCGACACCGCGCTTGCGGCGATCCAGGAGCAAAAGAGAACACTGAAGGAAGCCCGGTGGCGACAGTCTCAGGTCCGCATGGGGCGCAAGTTTTTCCCTCCTTCTGGTGGCAAAGGAGCTTCCAAGGGAAGCCAATCCTTGTCCTCGGCTCGCAAGTGCTTGAAGTGCGGTGGACCTCACAACACCGACAATTGCCCAGTGCGGAAGCCTCAGGCTCATGTGGCAGATGAACAGGCTGAAGTGGCTTTCTCAGCGTGGGACAAGGGAGTGACCAAGCCTTCAGAGAATGAGTGTGAGCACTCATATGCGGCCCAACCTGCAGATTTGGACATTCCCCAGACCATCAAGGACGGCAAGGGTGTCATCGACTGTGGAGCGACAGCGACATTGGGGTCGGTGTCCGCTCTTGAGTCACTGATGCGGATGAATGTGGCCAAACACGGCAAGGACCGTGTCACGGTAGATCCAGACCACTGTCCCATTTTCCGTTTTGGGAACAATGGCACTAAAGCATGTGTTTCCACGGTGTCCCTTGGTGTGGACCTTGGCGAGAAGAGTGGCAGTCTTCAGATTCATGTTCACGACACTGCCAACCAGCCTGTCCTGATTTCCGTGAAGGCCCTGAAAGCCTTAGGAGCTGTTTTAGATTTTGAGAACAATGAAGTGATATACCGAAAGGTATGCCCAAAGAGCGTAGTCCCACTCGAGGCCGCTCGCAATGGCCACCTGCTCATGCCATTAGGTGGAAATCTTTTGAAGGATGCCAGGGTCCGGAAGAGTGCCCTTGGCAGACTGGCCGACGAATAGGAACCACCCTCCCTTGGGGAAAATGGACGGACAGCCCAAGGGAGACAACTTGCAAGTAAGTCATGTGCTTTTGAGGTGTGCCAGGACTGCAATTTACTAGCAGTAGAATTCGGAATTTGCACGTTTTGTAAACATGAGTCCAACGCTGTTCATGAGAACCAGTTTGAATGCACTTCTTCTTGGAAACAATCCACTACCTCACACCACTACAACAAACAACTCCAACAACACCTTCAGCTTGAGCATTTCAGCACCTCACATACCCTGCCGTGCTCAAGCCCGCTTCCAGCAACACCAGTGACGTGTGACCTCACACCAGACACCGTCGACCTTCCATCGGTTTGCCATGCCTACCGAGACCAAGGAGAGCCTGATGCGACGCATCGAGGAGTTGGGGGAGGTGATGCCCAAGAGTGCCACAGTTCTTCAACTTCGTGCCCGCTTGAGCGAACTCCAGGAACTGAATCGCCCAGAAGGAGGAGACCTTCGTTCCAAGATGGTCGAACTGAACCGTGCGGCCAAGAAAAAGGCCAACCTGGTCGAGTTTGCCGAATCGAAGGGAATCAAAGTGGGACCCAACAACACCATTCCGAAGATCTATGCCAAGGTGGAAGCTCACCTGACCAAGACGACTCCGGCCACAGCTGCCGATCGTGTCAATTTCGGGAAGCACGGGGACTTGACATACGGCCAAGTTCTCCAGGAGCACTCCTCCTACATGCAGTGGGCCATTCAGATTCACAAGGAGGAGACGACCGATTGGCGTCTAGCACGCCTTGCGACCTGGGGAGAGTCTCAGATGAAGCACCAAGAGAGCAAGCCGAAGTTCACAGCAGGATACATGACCAAGCCTCGTGGGAGCCCATCCCAAGATCCTCCAGGCGATTCCTCCGACGGCTCGTTCATTCCAGTGGAGTTGTCCCAACAGGACATCATCGATGCTCTTCGAGAGGAACTCGAGACAGCGCAGACCGAGAAGGCCGAACTGGAACTGAGTTCGGGGAGGTCCAAAGCTCGGAAGGAGACGTGAGCGGCAGTGAGCAGGAGGTTGAGTCCATGTACGCCGAATGTCCAGCGTTGCAGTGCTTGGAGGTCCATAGGAAGATAGGCAGAGCTTGGAGACAAGAAAACAATCCTTTTGGAACTTCATGGCAGGAACTCACACAGTCGGGACGCCTCTTTCTTTTGGAAGTAGCGTGCAGTGAGAACAGTGTGCTGACCTCAGAAGTACACCAGCAGCTAGGACAACAGGCAGGTATGCGGTGCTCCCTCTTGGAGTTTCTCGCCTTTGCAAAGTGGTGTCTGAGTTGCGACCCAAACATATTTGGTTTTCCTGTGATTGTGGACCCTTTTCTCCGATGCAGCGACTCAACCAAAGAAACCCTGAACAGATCTCTCAACTGCAGAAGAAGCGTGAGTATGCAGAGCAAGAGTATTTGGGGGCAATCCGTGTAGCTCATTGGGGATACAACTTGGGTTCCGAAATTCACTGGGAACTTTCAGAAAAGTGCGAGGCGTGGAAACTTCCTTTTCTCCAAGAGTTCCTCATGGACTTGAAGCTTCAGACCGTCACCACACATGGCTGCACCGTGAACCTAAGAGCTAGAGACACTGGAGAACTCATGTGTAAGGGTTGGAAGATTGCCACAAGCAATAGGAACCTTCTTCGTCATATGCACCTTCCTTGTCAAAGAAATCACCGGAAAAGTGTTTGTGAAAGTGGTCGAACCTTGCAGTCAGCCTTTTACACACCAGTGTTTGCCAAGAAGGTCATCGAGGCCTTGAGACAACAAGAGATGTGGTCGTTAGTGTGCAGTGAACTGAATGCCGAGTTCATTGAGGAGACTTCGGAACCATCAGCAGCTAATGTGGAGACATGTGCAGTCAACCGGGAGGCACCATCCAATGAAGAGAAAGCTCGAATTTTGAAATTGATCCGACACATACATGGCACGACAGGCCATGGTTCCTTGGACGTTTTGCTTCGAGCTTTGAAGAAACGTGGAGTACCTCCACATGTCCTAGAAATTGCCAAGTCCTTCTCTTGCCCAATTTGTCAGGAGCGGAAACGTGCCGCACCACGAAGACCGGCGACTCTCGAGGTTCTTCCCAAAAAGTGGCAAGTGGTTCAGAGTGACATGGGTTCTTGGACACATCCCCACACTGGAGACAAGTGCAAATTTGTCATTTTCATTGATGAGGGGTGCAGGTTCAGAGCAGGACAGATTCTCTTCACTAACTCACGTAACATGGCAACATGGTCTCAGATGAAAGAGGTTTTTGAGGCTCACTGGCTTTCCCATTTTGGACAACCTGAAGTGCTCAGGGTGGATCCCGAGGGCGTGTGGAGAGACGGTGCGGCAGCTGACTGGTGCGCAGAACGTGGCATCCAGTTGGCGACAATTCCAGCAGAAGCACACTGGCAGGTAGGCATCGTTGAGAGTGCCATCAAGGGAGTGAAGTCCATCATGGACGGCATAGCAGAAGAGTTTCATGACATGTCCCTACACGAACTGTTTTGTAGAGCTCTATGGGCTAGCAACTCCAAGGACAACTACCTTGGTTTTTCACCTCTACAACATGCCATGGGTCGCTCACCTGATGAATGGGGACATCTGTTTGATAGCAAGATCAAGGGGTATCCTATACATCCAGCTCAACACATGGATGGTGGTTTTTCTGAAAACATCCGGGCTATGGCTATAGCAGACCAAAAGTTTTCGGAGTTTCAAGCCACAGAGCGACTTGCTAGAGCAGTAGCTGCAGGAAGACGACCCATGAAGTCTTTTGTACCTGGGGATCTGGTATTTTTCTGGAGAAAACAAGTTCCGGGAGGTGTTGGAAAAGGGTTTTCTTGGACAGGGCAATTTGTAGGGCCAGCGAGAGTACTTGCTGTGGAGACCAGAGTTGAAGAAGATGGCTCTTTGCGGCCGGGCTCAGTGGTGTGGCTACACCATGCTGGAAGACTCTTGAAAGCAGCGCCCGAGCAGCTCCGTGCTGCGTCCGACAGAGAGTTGGCTGTGGAGGAACTTCGTGGACCAACTGACATACCCTGGACTATTACGTCATTGGCCACTCATCCCGCAAGGAAAACATACCACGACATCAGTAAAGACCTTCCTACAGACCTACAAACCCAGTGAAAAACACCAGATACAGTTGTTTCGACAACTAAAACAGAGGTGGAGGATTATCTATGATGCAACCATGATTTCAGCGAAAAGAAGGAAGAGCATGGGCCTTGCACCGATGGACAGCACAAACACAGCAGCACCTAACCAACAACAACATAACACCACTTAACTCCGTTTTGTTTGTTGTTTGGGTTGTTTGTTGTTTCTTTTTTTTAGTGTTGGACCTGTGCTCGTTCGTGACCGAACAAGATGTCAATCCATGCAGCTGACAGGCTCCTTGTGTACTAGGAAAAAGGCGCCAGCGCTGATTCCTTGACGTGTGATTTCCAATTATTATATGATATTATATGATATTATGCAAATTGCAGCGCTGCTGGTCCCTAGCTGCACCTTTTGCAAAGCAAAGAAGCTCCGTAACATGGCGACATTGACAAAAACCGAGCTAACTCACAACATGCGTACAATAACTTACATGGGGCACGCCCACTGACTCCTATCATCGAAGTGTCCAACAAAACCATGATCTACGGTTTGCATCCCGGAGTCGGTTGATGATATCTTGGAATCAATGATTGCACGAAGCTGCGCACCTTGCATGGTCTTTGTGGCCTCAAAAAGGCATCGGAGTACTCTTTCAATTCAAGCTGAGCACAGGTCCGGTCCTGTGGGACTTCTTGGTGACAATGGGGTCGTAATGATCCTTGGTGAGAGTACTGAAAGAACCATCCATATCCAGATTTGGCACGCACACACTGCACACACACAAAGCACGCGCATGCAAAAGGAGTAGAACATTGTAGAAGAACATCTCAGTGCATCCCAAGGTCGGCAATCCCCATGCAGCCGCAACTTTGGGATCAAGAACTGGTCGGATTGGGTTTGTTTGGTCATCTTGTGTGAGCTTTGGGCTTGTGGACCGCAAAGCCGGCGACCTTCTCGGCAATTTAGACTCTGATTGCTCGAAATTCGGACTTTGTGACAGGCGCTGAGCCAGCTCTGGGCTTCGGCTACAGGATTGAGCTTCAGCGTCAGGATCCTCACACATTGAAGCAAAACGACCCAACCTCTTCAGGGGATTGGTGCTTCACTTATGCGGCAACAAAGGAGTCACCCCTCACTATAACCAATATCGCCATATCATCAACACGAAGGAACATCAAGTGGATTCAATCATTAAACACGTCACAGATTCAATCTCACCAAGGTGCACAGCTTGCAAAGTGTTTTTCCCCGTTCCTTGGACTCAAACAATTATTGTGGAATCCTGATGGGTCCATTGGTCTGGTGAGTGTTTTGCTTGTTCTCACTGATTGCCAAAACAATTAGCACATAAGGCGGCAGCCTTTCGTTGCCAAAGGCGGTTTCGGCCTCCAGCTCATCAACAACTGTTTGTCGATGTGGCTATTATTGTTTGTTTAGAACTTGCATGTCTTACATTGGTTCCAAGATCGAATACGGCTGCTTTGTGATGCAAAGTATCAACTATGTGAGTGTACAATTTTTGTGTTATATCTAGCATGCAAGTGATTGAGCGGGAAGGGAAGCGAAAGGATGAATTCTGATCCTGACATTGAACAATTGCAGAACCTGAAAAGCATGCCTGGTATTGTAGCACAACAAAGGTTCCGATGTATATACTGCAATATACTGCAAAAATTCCTGTGAGAATGCCACCATGTAGCTGGATTTATCTGCTGCTAATCTCGGCTGGTCTGGGGCTGGTGCATTTCTGGATATGCCCATCCATTGCATCCCTGGCGGGAAACCCGTCAAAGTTTGAGGATGTCACCGAAGGCACTGCAAAAAGCACTTGCGTAATGCCACACATTCTTCTGAGGGCTGCCACTGGCTTTCACATGTTCTTCCTCGGTGAGGCTGTGAGGCCCATATTGTTCGAGTGTCACGCATCCCCACACACATGCAAGCTACGGACGAGGCTCTGCTTCAAGGAGGTAAGTTTCTGGCCATAAGTTCCTGGGGGACTGGAGGAATGCCAGGCAAGGGCCTCAGGGCTCTTTCATCCTCTCATGATATGGCATAAAGCCACAATCAAAACACAAACTGATGATATCAATGATAAGGCCAGCTCGCTGAGGCTCGATGTTGTTCTGCTGAAGCTTCCTGAAAGCCACTAATCCGACCCTACCAGTGCATGTTGGGTTCTCTCTGTTTATTCAAGGCACTACTTGCAGTAGTATTCTCATCCAGCTTGCCTGTGGTACTGGCGGCGGTGGGGGCTCCTCAAAGGCTCCACCGTCCAGGTCGGGAGGTGGCGGAGGCCTCTACCAGGAATGGACCAAATGATTCGCCTTCACAAGTTCTCTTTCATCTCATGTTCATCTCGTGCAACGTGCTCTTTCACCAGGGCTTGCCTTGGCTCAGGCGGCTTGGCTTCCTCCCAGAAGGCAGTTGTATCTCATATATAGACAGGACTTACAGTGCATCTCACAGCAAGCGATTATGCTTTCTCGATCTTTCTCGTAGTTCCTTCGGACGCTCATGCCGAACTTCCTGGTGGAGTAAATCCATTAGATCCAGATTGGTGCGAGGAGCTTTCCAACACGAATTGCTTCAAGTACACTGATGACTCAACGTGATAACCGGTTTACCAAGGGCTTGCATGTGTTCATCACTTTCAATCCATTATCTTCACTAATAGAGATAATAGAGAAACAAAAAAAAACTTATGGATCAAGACTCGCCTGCTTGTCGGGCTGCTTCGGGGAACTGTTCGCATGGGAATTCTCCTACTGACGGACAGCGAGATCAATGTGGAGGCGTGGAAAGCATACCAGTTTTGCAAAGAATACTGAAACAAAGTTTCGCCTCAAAGGGTTTCCATTCTTCCCCGTCCAATTCCTCCTCCTCTCCGGCAAACACCTGGCAGACTTGAACTTGGAAAACCAACCTCTGCCGCCCTCCACTAGGCGTCTTCTACAGCCTTGTCCAAATACAGCTTGAACGTCGGCTTCTCAGGAGTGCCTACCATCTACATCCCTAATCTAGACATGAACAACTTACTGAACAAGAGTGATTTGGGACGCAGGTGAGGCACATGCAGACTCACTGCCTCCACGACGTGCTCGCATAGGAAGCAACTGAGCTTCGTGTGGTGTTCTTTTTCTCTTAAGAATTGACAACATGTTGTTTTTCAATTTCCTTGTCCGACATCGAGCCATTGCGCTTGTAAAGGCTTTTCGTATTTATATTCCTCTTCGACCCCTTTTGCTGCAAGGAGAATGCTTCAAAGTTCTGAGCAACGCAGCCACTTCCCATCCATCTTCCAGGACTCGAAACGCCCCACGATGCAGAGTTTCCCAGGCCTCAGCACCAGAACACTGCATCCGAATCGAGGGGATTTTGATGGATTTGGTGAATTTCGGACCAAGATTCTGTTGAATATCAGTCTTACTGACGTCGGCCGCTACACTGGTACTTATGGGTACGCCAGAAAGAAAGCTATGCAACTGGGTGTGCAAATGGCTTGTTTTGCTTTGCCATAATGAGCAGGTCAGCAAATCGCACTCTTTTTGGCTGTCACGGCAAATCTGATCCGCCTTTGTGGTTTGCCTCTGCACACAGGATCCCTTTGTGATATGATGTGAACGGAATCTTCAAAATTGAATGACATTGAACAAGTTTTGGAGTTTGGGTGTCCCAGGCCTTCGCCATCAACCTGACTCTGCTACTTTCGTTGGCGCTTAGCTCTTGCAGCAGCTTCCATCGCGAAATTGGCCACTGAAGCAGACCCTCCAGCAGCACGCATATCATCGTGATAAAACAACGGTGCAAACAGAACTCCAGCACCAAAGCAAATGCAGTCAAGCTGATTGCAAGCCTGGAGCCAAGGACGGCCTCTGCTTTGTGCTTGGCGGTCTTGCCACAGCCTGGGTTCAGGAAACATGCACAGCTGTTATTGGTCTTGCAAAGGGAGCTTCGACGTCCCTCTACCTCTCTCTCTCTCTCTTTCTCTCCCCCCTCCCCCATTCTCTAGATTCCGGATTGCGAGTGTATATTGAGAGGGTTCTATGCACTCGATTGATTTGTGATTAGTGCAACCATTTTGAAGGGCAAGCAGTGTGGGTGGCAAAACCTGCACCGGTTGCCACGCCTACACCGCTTGCGATGCTTTGCGTCTGTATGCATACACTGTTAACTGTTCATACAGCATACCCTGTCTCAAACATGTCTCTTCGGCTGTTGCGGCACCAAGGCACCTCGTGGAAGCAACCCTTGATGAAATGTTCGCATGAACCCCGACCAGTTGGGCCTCTTGCTTGAGTGCTGTAATTTCTCCTGCCTGCAAAGCCACTTCTGGGCTAAATCGTCCGGCTTGCAAAGCCAATTGGCTGTGGCTGCTGCGCATCCGGGGGAGGTGTTCTTGCGGCTCCGGCTCCATGAGGAATCTTGATTCTGCAACAGGACACATTGAGCCAAGGCCCGAGGCCTATGTTGTTCAGATCCGTCTCCACTTCTCCTCCGACTAGAAGCTCAGTACGGCCAGCGACGCCCGATTAAACCTTGTCACCCCTGTGGCAGGACATCTCTCCACCAGCCATGATGAGACAGGTTAGCAACCAGTGATCTGATTCTTGCTGGGAATACCTTCCACAGAACAAGAACACATTGTTGAAATCGCTAAGCAGAACGAGGATGGAGAAGTTCGCAGCTTCAACAAGTTCCCAAACGTTCCCGAGCGTAAAGATACACAAGCCAGACCTGAAGGATTCTCCTGAACGTCAATCCACCACATATGGCAACAGCAGTGGTGAGGGCCAACCCATACATTTGGTGACTTAAAACCAAGTTCAAACCGAGATAATTATGGTCAATCTACTTTAGTTGACTGAGAACACACACACATATATATTGGAGAGGGGTGCAATTGCTCATACTCCTTCACTCTACTATTGATATAGAAGTGACAAGGTGCTCCATAGATCTGACGGCCACTTTCAGGGATGTGCCTCCATTGTAATTCCATGCAATTCCACGTTCTTGATTTTGAACCTTCCCTTCCAGCTACTTATATAAGTGAATGCAGTTGAAGCAGCGATCTGGCAAAATAGGAATCTTGGCAACATCTTTCTTGTCCACTATTGAATCATGGGCAACGCTGTGACATTTCATGAAAAATTAGAATAAAAAATATATATATATATATATATAGTATTATCAATGCATGTCTGTCATTGCCTGTCACTGAGTAGGTGCAAACCAACTCTTGATTATGCCTGATTATCGTTTGTGCTTGCGCTAGACCACACAGAATAGAAGTAGAAGGGCATCGGTTTTGAATGAGCTTGACCAACTAGAGTAGGTGATTCGAGAAATGAGCTTAGAGAATAGTGGAGTAGGGCGAGATTGATAGAGAGGCATCTAACAGCCAAGAGTTTAGAGACCGGGTACACGGTCGCAGCGGGTATATGGAGAGTATTCAATGACAAATACAACAATAAAGGATCGAAAGCTAGATATCGAGTATCAGTATCACAGGAATGGGGTATAATATGATATTGCAAGAATGTCGCGCCCATCCCCGCACAACCCTTGCTTGCAAAAATGTTAAGCAACCAATGCAACTATGTAATTCTGCTGAAAGGCAAGGCACCTACTTCACTACCCTTACAGTGCACCTCTAAGTCAGGTCTGTTTGCTCACCTATCAACAATGAATCTTCTTGCATTGCCAAAAGCTACTTTTTATCCAAACGCGCACCAGGCATTCAACCCCCAATAGATGGGGCTGAATAGCTGATTTGTCAGATTACCAGCTTTCAGGGATAACGCCAGGTGCCAGGTGCCAGTTTGCCTCAAAGCTGCTCAGCCAAATCCTTCCGAGGGAGTGCCCTGACTCCCAACCCAAACGAAAGAACAACATGTGGTAATTTCTTATCGGCTATGAAAAACAACAAACACGCGCAATTATTGTTAATCTGTCTGCAAAGAGTAGGGATAAAGGTAACATCCTACTACAAAATAAGTTTCGTCGTGAGACAGGGGTTCCAATGCAAAGCCTGATGCTACGATAGCCCTCCTACTACACTGTCTTGCTCTCCTATCAACCCATTTTCGGATTGATACAGCTCACACTGTGTAAAGGGAGGCTCGTTTTAGACTCTTGTGGTGATATCAAGCTCTTGTCTTGGGCTAGGCAGGTTCAGTGAGGGAATTCACATGTAGCAACCATATCCCACAAGAAACCATCCATTCAATAAGGGTTTCACATAACTCCAATTCCGGTTGTATATAAATACAAGCCTTACATCAAAGTTGGTGCCTTTCAAGAACATTCCTAAGACCTGGCCAACAAGTGGATGTTGAAAGGAAGTTAGAAAAACATTCGTACTCCCCATAGTGATGTGGCTCCTCAGAAGGCTGCGTGGACGGATGGGGTCGAACATGTGTGCGTTTTGATAAAAACACAAACAAGGAGCTCCAAGAGGAGACACCGTGGCTTCTCTGCCTGGCGAGCACAAAATATATAAGGATTCAGCGCTCGTGAGCAACACGAAATCACACATCATCCTTAAAGACACAATCCATGTCCATTCAGACCTAACATCCTGGAGAGTCCTTGTAAGCTTTTGGACTCTCAAGACACTTCTAATGAAGAACATCCATGTGTGCTCGATTTGGTGATCCAAAATGTGCCTCCATTTGGTGCCACATTCGTGAGTGGACGTTTGAGTGCCTGCCGGACAACATCTTCCATCTTGGGTCCTTCTCTGACACTGAGGAATCTGAACCATCTTTGCAAAATACATGCAGGAAAACAATTGCTGCGGAAAGCTTCACCAGGAAAGGGCCTCTACGTTGTTTGAGGCTGGCAGGCCTCGGAGCCTCATGGCTAAGCGCCCGCTAAGGAACTTATCACGAGTTGAACGACCAGAAAACATCAAAAGCATCAAAAAGACTTGGCATCCAAGCTTTGAATCGCCGTTTGTTGCTGCCTGAGGGCAGCTGATCATTCAATTGTTATCTGGACTCTTGTGGTTCCAAAGCTGCGCGCAGCTGAAAACGCTTCTAATGACACAGCAAACAACTCAGAACTCGTCCTGCACAGGTTTGACCTTCCAAATGAAAGAACAAAGGCAAGCCTTTCCAACAATGAAGCACACTTTGGGATCTTTGAGGCTGCAACCGCAAATGTGTCCCAGGAAACAAAATTGGCACTTGCCAATGCTGGATTTGGAGCTCCTGCCAAGCAAACTCTGGCAGTGCCTTGCCCGAGAAACTACCAATCCCGAAGGTGACACATCTCTGACCAGAGTGACATTGGTCTTCGTTTCATGTTGCCTGGCCCAGGTTTGCCTGTCGCGCCAGTGACCCGTGCAGCTGTCTCAACAGGGCGTCGCGCGGGGGTGTGGGCCACCTAGATCGAGCACTGAAACCGCTCAAACAGCACAGTTTAATTGCCAACCATTCAATACTGCACACTGCAAACGCTAAAGCACTGAAGAAAAATATGTCTTGTGGAGGATTTTGCACTTGGCCAACAGGATGGGTGCACCTTCTCAGGCCCTTGGGCAACGATGGGCTTCAGGGTCTCTGTTGGAACGGTCATCTCCAGCCTTTCCATGATCAAAATCCGACCAATTTCAGCCGGTCTCAACGAGCCACGTGGGTAATTATATTGGTTACTAGTCGGCAGCATCGTGCCGACTGAACAGGAAGCAACACGGCATCTGTGTCTGGAGGCTGCTGAACGAGTCTGATTGGGCACCACTGTTGGAACAAACATGAGATTCAACACAGTATGCACGAATATGCACCCGAGAAGTATCTAGTATCTAGCAACAAAACATGGATATATACATATCTCATCAGTCTCGTCAATGTCATTTGTGCATCATCCGAGCGGCCAGTTCTCTACGAGAGCTCGGCAAACGCAAAAAGGCAACACCTGACTGCGCTGCTGGTCCTCCCCCACTTTGCACCGTAAGCATCTGCCCTGACAAGTCAAACCCACCTGTCGAGAAACAGACCGTCTGCATCGTGGACAGAAAGGGCCATGCAGGCAGCCCTTCACCTCAGCGTTTCTTGTGGTCAAATTGGATCATTTGTTTAAAATGTCTTTATCAGTGTTTATCATGTTTGTTATGTCAGTTTCGACTTCAATGAGCCCTTTGACGTAACTTACCGGCCCTCTGGACAAGCAAGGCAGCGGCTTTGAGCACCAGACTGTCACAGGTCGGTGCATGACTTGTGCCGAGTGAGCAGTGCTAGATGTCAATGCCTTCCGGCACCTGAAGCCCAGCAGTTCTATCACTTTATCAAATTCATTCCTCTGCGTGTGCAGTTTCTGCAATTCTAGCCGTTCC